TTGTATAACCTTGTGTAAATTGTTTAATTACTCTCATTCAGTTTTCCTAACTGACAAGTGAGAATAATACTATCCACTTCATAAACTGTTGTGAGGATTAAATATACCAATACATGTAAAATACAAAGAATACTGTCTGGCACATAGTAAGTGCTTTTTTATTACTATAATTGATGATGCAAGGTCAATAAGATAGAAGTCTGTAATTAAGGGGAGAATTATGGTCCAAAGATATACATTTGGAGATTCCAGCCTAAAGATGATATTAGTACTATGGGGTTAAATGATGACATCTAGAGTGTGAGTGTATGCAATTAAGAATGTTCAAAGATTGAGTTCTAACTCTAAGCACTGATAGGATTAAGAAATGGGAAGATAGGGGGGAAAAACCAACAACTAGAGGGGCCCATGAGTTCAGAGAAAAAATAGGTAAGTGAGTTGTCCTGTAAACTGAGGAAAGAAAGTATTTTAAGGAGAACAGTGTGATAACAGCGTCAAATGCTTCTGAGAAGTTAAGTTAGGTAATGGTCATGACCATGGTCATTAGACTTAACATTGTGATGACTTCGGTAAGAGCAATTTCAGCAGAGCAGTGAGTGATAAAACCAAACTAAAGTGTGCCCAACAAGGAGAGAGAATAGAAACAATGATTAGAGATAACTCTTTGAAGGAAATTTGAGGTAGAGCAATAGAGATAAATAGGGCTAGCTGGAAGCAAGGGAGAAATGAAATAAAACCTTTTTTTTTAATTTTTGGGGAAATAACAGCAATTTTGTATGTCGACAGGGATGATCCAGAAGATTGAGGAAAAGTGAGAATTACTGAAGCTATATCTCAGTAGACGAGGGTGGGTGGGAACTGGGATACAAGCACAGAGGTTAGCCCTATTTAGGAGCAGGAACAGCTCATTTAGGGACAGGTCTGGGTGACAGTATTAGGTGAAGTGCTCTTCGATACTTTTATTTGTTTGCAATGAAATGCGGAGCTATATCAATTAAGACTAAAGACATGTTGAAAATTTGAGGCACATGAAACAGTTACTGAGGAGTGTGAAAGAGAATTGGACTGGGAAGTATCATATGATTGCAGGACAAAATTAAGAGCTTGCTTGAGATGTGTAACCCTGAGTCTGTGAGCAGTTTCATGGTTGTCTGCTTTTCCCCACTCACATTTGGCTATAGAAAGGAGCACACATAGAGGAAACCAATAGTTGGATTTAATCCCTTTTCTGACTTAATAAAAGTGATTATCTATGAAATTCAAACATTTAAAAAAGTAAGTGAATACATGAGGAAGCGAAATACAATGGAAAGGTGGTGGGAATGTGTCAGTGGGACAAATGGTGGTGATGGAGAACCAAAGATCCTGAAAGCCAACTAGCTTCTCTGTTTTCAATTTCTCCTTGGGAACCTGAAAGCTACAAATATGAAAAAATAGAGCAGAGGGCATAAAAAGGGAGCTCATTTTCTAACCACTGTTGATCTCCCAGAGAAGTCACATGACTGTCCACCATAACTCTACTTTAAAGAATTCCACTCAATGGTTCTACTGAAAATCCCACACAGAATGTTTGAATTATTATCAGTAAAATGACATTGAGAACCTCTGATAAACAATAATGCAATGTTAAATTTAACAAGGGTTCATATACTTTGGTGCATAATTGTATTTCAGATATATATTTATAGATCCATACATTGCTAAATATCATGATGATGAAATGATTAGATTACATTTAAGAAAAATAATCAGAAAGAACAAGATGAAGGGGAAGTAAATGACATAACAGATAGAGCTAAAGTAATGGGGAATTCTAACAAATCAAATCAAGTACAGAAATGAGTTCCTTCAGACATGTGGCATTTCTATAAATAAACCTAAGGCCTTAGAAAGATTAGAAGTTCTTTTCTCACTCACCTAATGAACTAATCCATCCTTTAACAAAAGTACTTATCCTTTGAATTTTATTTTGTACCTTGAAGCACCAAATTAAATAGGAAGTACTCTGAACTTAAACTCCAGAATTTATAATTTTAAAGATTTGCCTTGGATATCTGACATCATGGAATGGAGAAACATTATGAACTTTGATATGGAATGGTCAGAGGTTTTAAATTTTCTTTTGGACACAGATTTTGCATTATAGGCCTGAGAAAGTCTTGAAATCTCTTCCAGCTTCAGAATTCTCTTCTGTAAAATGGCATTAACATCACTGAATCTCCTGGATTTTAGAAACTAAATAAAATAATGCTAATTGAATACTCCTGATTAAACAAATGTGCTTCCCTTTCTTTATCCTCCCTTATGGTAAATGAGCAAACCTCAGAATCTTCATAAGTATCTACAAAGTCAGTTTGCATATCTCCATTTGAAGTGGTGAGTAATTCAAGAGTCCTATTTTTAGGGCTTTTCCTCTTGAGAGAATAAGAGTCAAACTGCTTCCAGTCAAGAGTACGGTAAGCATAAATTACTTGGCATCACTCAAGATCAATTTACAACATTAATAATAGTTATATGATCTGTCATCATGTATTAGTGCTTGGCAAGAGAAAACTGGACTGGAAAATTAGGAAGGTTGAAGGTGAAGAATAAAGTGCTCTGGTTAACACACACAGGATCTGGGAACACAACCTATCAGGGAATCATTTCTACTTTCAAAGGCCTGGAAATCCATCGCTTGAAATATTTTTGCATTTCTAAAGGAAAATCATTTCTAACCAGCAAGGGAGAGAGGGAAAGAGGAAGAGAGAGAAAGAGGGAGGGAGAGAGAAAGGGAGGAAGAGAAAGAGGCAGGGAGGGAGAGGGAGGGAGGAAGAGAGGGAGAGAGAGAAATGTTTCAGTCTACCTGAAGAAAACTGAACTCCCCATAGAAATATATTCTATCATTTTTGAATTATTTACATCAATTATTAAACTCATTTTGAGGCCACTCCTATGCAGTCACATAAACTCAAGTATATATACATGACTCATGGGGAAACAAATTATTCTGACATACTTTGAAGATCTGTGAAAACTCTCATCTCATTTCTGAAAGAATGTAAGCTATAGATTGCCTTAGGACTTCCAAGCATAAGTGAATTCAGAATTTTTAGACTACTAGATATTTAGCAATTTTAAGCCAGCAGAGGGCTCCCTGCTTCAACATGGTTCTATACATGTCAAGTCCAGCAAGAACTATTGGTAAGAGACAAAGGTAGGGTTTAATATTTGTGATGGGCTTAGTATTTGTGGTACTCTGTGTTGAATTAAGAAGTGTTAAGAGAAGACCTAGCTGGTTTGGCTCAGAGGATAGAGTGTTGCCCACGGACTGAAGAGTTCAAGGGTTCAATTCCTGTGAAGGACACATGCCTGGGTTGTGGACTCGATCCCCAATAGGGGGCGTGCAGGAGGCAGCAAATCAATGATTCTCTCTCATCATTGATGTTTCTCTCTCACCCTTCCCCTTCCTCTCTAGAATCAATAAAAAATATTTTAAAAAAGGATAAAGAGAAGAATGAACCAAAACCAAGTCCCTACTTCTGATGTTTAAAATATAACTTATTTTTCCATTATACAAAATTTAAACTTCCTTTGCTTTTCTAGTTTGAAAAATAAATATACTTCAATCCCTCATGAATCCCAATATACATCTTAAGTCTGATTCTTTCAATAATTAATTTTTCTGTTCAAAGCTTAAATAATATATATTTTTAAATGAAGTTAACCAATTGATCAGTGTAATAAAATGATTAATATTGGCAAAGCTCAATGAAGGACAGCATTCATTAATTTGGTTCTTATATCTTTGATTTCTTAAATTGTAACTAAATCTAAGAAATATTGGATGAATGGAAGAAAAATATTTCAACTGCCTTGAGTCTTCTCCCCTTTGAACCTTATGCTGTCAGTTTCCTCCTAATGATTTTGGCAGATTCTTACAATCCCAATGAATAATGTACACAAAATGCCTGAGGTGATTTAACTTACAGAGTTTTATTAACATTATTGTGACAATTTAAAATAACAGAATTACTGTCTATTTCTTAATCCACCAAAACAAATTGACCAAACATATTAGACGTATGTATCACAAATTAATCTGTTGAATCAATTAATTCTGACAAATTCTATACATTTTCATTACACTTATGTCTTTTTCTACAATGTAAATTCTTAGGTTATGTGATTTTTAATGGTAAATATAATCCTAGGCAGACAACTAATGTAATACACTTGTTATAATGATAAGTATTTACCTAAGCACAATTTTAGCAGAATGGTCAGACAATGGTACATTTTATCTTACTATTTATTTAATCTGTAAAAGACCATATTATATGAAAAACTGGGCTAGCCTCAGAGAGAGGAGGAGTGAAAATTGGTGGAGGAAATATCAATAACTTTAGCAATGCAGATAACACCATCTGATGGGCAGAAAGTACCAATGATTTGAAATGACAGCTGATACAAATGAAAGAATAAAGTACAAAAGCAGGACTGCATTTGAACAGTAAAAAGAAAAACTTTATACCCTAGCCCAGTGGTTGGCAAACTGCGGCTCGCAAGCTGCCGTTTGCTGCTCTGTTGAATAATGAGTTTGCTGACCACTGCCCTAGCCAATTTGGCTCAATGGATAGAATGTTGGCCTGTGGACCAAAGGGTCCTGGTTTGATTCCTGTCAACGGCACATACCTTGGTTGCAGGCTCCTCCCTAGCCTACGCCCTGATTGGAGCTCTTGCAGGAGTCAACCAATTTATGTGTCTCTCTCTCTCATTGATGTTTCTTTTTGTCTTTCCTCCTCTTTTCATTCTCCCTAAAAATCAATGAAAACATACCCATGGGTGAGGATTAACAAAAAGAAAAAGAAGAGTAAGAGTAAGAGTATGAAGAAATAGGAGGAAGAGGAGGAGGAGAAAGAGGAGAAGGAGAAACAGTAAAAGCAACAGCAGCTGCAATTTATGACTATAGGAGAAATATGCATCTTTAACATAGAAAATTAAGACATTAAAATTGTTCATGATTTTGTTTACCTTGATTCAGTCATCAAATGAAAACTGCAGTAAAGAAATCAAGAGAGACATGGAAAGGTAACAATGAAAGAATTGGGAAAGATCAAGAACAACGATGTGTCATTAGAGACCAAGGCTAAGATCATCCATACTTCATATACCCAATTACTATGTACAGAGGCAAAGGTTGGACAGTGAAGAAGGTTGATAAGGAAAATTTACTCATTGGAAACGTGGTGTTGAAGAAGAGCTCTACAGATACCCTGGACCTACAGAAACATGAACAAGTGGATCCTAGAGCAAACTAAATCCGAAACATGATTGGAGGCAAAAATGACAAAATTGAAGCTGTCCTACTTGGACACATCATGAGAAGGCAAGGTTATTTGGAAAAGACAACAATTCTGGAGGAAAATAGAAGGCAGCAGAGAAAGAGGAAGATCAAATATGAGATGGTTTGACTGCATAAAGGAAGCCATAGGCTTGAGTCTACAGGAGCTGAGCAGGCTGTTGAAGATGGCCTTGTGGACATCACTCATTCATTGGGTTGCCAGGAGGTGGAGCCCACTCAATAGTGTATAACACAAACAGTCTTAGCAAACAGCAAAGGGAAAGCTGTCAAGTCAATGCAAATGGCATCTTTATTCTTTTTTACTATTTTTGTTTTCTCCCTTTTCTTCTGCTCATTAGATGCTACCAGTGGATATAATATCATTACACTTAAAATCATTTATTGTCAAGTCAATCAATAAAGTAACTGTAACTAACTTTAATTTTAAAAGAAAATAATAAATGTGGAAAGCAAGCAAGAGTATATAAGTATATTATCTTTCACTAAATAAGTGGTTCATTAATTATGACATAGGATCATTATTTTTGTAGTTGGTATCAACATATTGTGGTTATAGACAACTAATTAAAACGAGAGAATTGTATACAAACTGAAATTATTTCCAAAGGCCAGAGACAAGTTGTTGCATGCTTCTTACTCCCCAGAAAGCAATGCAGATGGAGAAAAAAATCTGAAGGAGACACAAAGAGGAAAAACAATCAAAATTAAATTAGTACCTTCATTCAACTGAGTTAAAAATATGGATAAAATAAACAAACATTTTCTACAGTTAGATAATTCAAATTGAATGTAGCAGTTGTTCACTGATAGAATTGAGCCAACCCAGCTAAAAACATGCTATGTGAAGACAGGAGTGGAAGTAAGATGTTTTGTCTCTATGGCGTTTTCTTTTATATATATATTTTTTTCCCCCATAAATCTGGGTCATTTATAGGGATGGGGCTATATAAGTCAGATACTGAATGAAACAGAACTTTCTTCTAGCACTTGGGCATACATACCACTTATTGTACTGTAGTAAATGATCTCATTGTTTATATAGCTTAAACTTTTGGAAAGGAAGAAATAAAAACATATTAAAAACTAATTTCTTTCTAAGGCAATATGATCCAGCATTTTATGAACTTTACCCAACATGAATTAAATTACAAACATTACTGCTGACTTACCTTACCAATCTTTTGATCTTATCAGGTATAAAAATATAAAGGCAAAATTCTTTTTAAAATTGAAGATGTAACTACATCATAATAAGCATTCATAGTTTATTATTTACTTCCAAGTAATACCATATATTCCCAATAAATCACCAAAAATTACCCAAATGAAATTCTTGATTTCTACTGATATGAGTAAAAATGACTATAAAGTCATTCTTAATAAGAATTTTTGGTTGTAGAACTTTTCACAATGAATAATCAAAATATCATAATGAATATTGTCTAGTTAACTTGAGGTAAAATCCAAGCACTAGTTATATTCTTTATACCTTTAGATTTTTCTTAAGCCAACTCTTCCTCTTATAATCACATATGTACTAAAGCTATAGGATTGTTTATATGATCATCATTTTTGGTGTTACTACCGTAGTATGATAATGAAAAAGAATAATGCCCAAACAGCAAGGTTAATGAGATCATTATGTAAGAGTTTCCCCATCTTGTGTGTGTGTGTGTGTGTGTGTGTGTGTGTGTGTATGCAAACTTCATCTCCAAACTATTAAAATATGTCCAGTTTCCTCTTCCCAGGAAGAAGATCACTATTTGTGAAAGACCCATAAAAATATACAAAGGAGCACATTTGAGTAATAAGATGGAAACATGGGAAACCTTCTGGAGTGATGGACTGAAGTGAAGTCAAGGCCATTAATTGAGGTCGTCCACTAATTCACTGAAAATACTCTGAACTGTGTTAATTTTTCTATTAAAGATCCTCCTAAACATTCATGTCTATATTTTACGGGTCGATGTTCAGTTTCATGTGACCTGTCTGGTTCTAGAGAACCATTATCCTTTACATTCTCAAATTTGAGTGTTTTCTTCAAATCCATGCATTCCTTTCAGCCTATAACATCTAAAATATGAAAAAATACCCAAAATAAAATCAACAATTATATTGAAGCAGAAGTCAAGAATAGTATTAACATTTTGGAGTTACCTCAGAAATCAAATACAATATATTTAAAGTCTGGTTTTGATTTTGTTTCTTTTGACTGTAATTCAAGAGAAATGACCTCATGTGATTTCTTATGATGGTTCCAGATAAAATAATACCAGGGTTGGAGGGTATTTGTGAAAGGCCTTAGATTATGCAATGAATTAATTTGTCTATGATGATAGGTTAATATTGACATAGAGGTAGTTGAGAAGACAACTTTCAAGTGAGAGATAAAACTGTAACATCAGGATAAATAGTTTAGTTTGGATCCATAATAATCCTTAAGCAATTAATGAGTACCTTGTGTTGTACAGTGTCATGAAATCTGAAATATATTTAACAATAGGAGTTTTTATTGGTTTTGAATCTAGTGTCTAGGGATCATAATTATTATTTCCATGAGTGAATGTTGGGGTGAAACCTCTAAAACTGTATATAAAATCTTGTAAATATGTCATAATTCTTCCCTTCCTCCATTCCTACCCCTTAGATGATCAACAGTTTCACCTGAGGTTCCAGAAAAATTATAACTTCTGATCTAGCAAGAAAGTGAAAAAGATTACAATTTTAGTTCATGCCTTTGTTGTTAATCAACCATTGTACAACTAAATCTTTTCCCTTTTGAAACTATAATCAATCTCTGGTGGGGTAGCTCAGTTGTTTAGAGCATCTTCGTGATACACCAAAGTTGTGGGTTTGATCCCCAGTCAAGGCACACAGAAGAATTAACCAATCAATTCATAAATAGGTGGAACAACAAATCTCTCTCTCTCTCTCTCTCTCTCTCTCTCTCTCTCTCTCAAATAAATAAATAAATAAATAAATAAATGAGAAAAAATAAACTGTAACCAACTCCTATTACTTTAGGGAACATTCCTAACAAACACATAGATCTTATACTTTTAAATTTTATAAAATGCTTTTAGAGTCTTCCCAAAAATATAATATTGAATATTTTTCCGTTTTATTTTGTTTATCTGTGTTGTTGTTGTTTTCTAGACCCTTATGGTTTTTTTTTGGGGGGGAGGGGGGTTTAAATATATTTTATTGATTTTTTACAGAGAGGAAGGGAGAGAGATAGAGAGCCAGAAACGTTGATGAGAGAGAAACATTGACCAGCTGCCTCCTGCACACCCCCCACAGGGGATGGGCCTGCAACCAAGGTACATGCCCCTGACCGGAATCGAACCTCGGACCTTTCAGTCTGCAGACCAATGCTCTACCACTGAGCCAAACCGGTTTCGGCTAGACCCTTATGTTTTATCCTTAAAAGTGATGAGGGGTAAAGGCTGGGTCAGATTCAGATTCAAATTAATGTTTAGGCTAGGCATTGTCATAAGTACCTTTTACAAGACTGTGATGTTTAATTCTCATAAGAAACCATGAAGAATTGGTATCCAGTATGTGGATGAGGCAATGGGAACACAGGATTTATGTGGTTTACCAAGAAATCACAAATTACAAAATTGCAGAGCTGAGATGTTTTTCATTTATTTAGTGGCCCCCCTCATCCCCACCAGAAAATCTAACTGCACATCCTTGGAAGTCAGGTCAATGAATATGAACATCAACAGTGAATTCATTTCCTCTTTTTTAGTCATCACCTGCACTTGCCTGGTGATTTTTGAGTCAGAAAATGTTAGGTTTCTGAGACCTTTTCACAATCAATATTTTAAGCATAAATGGAGTTCTTATATATAATGAAATCCAGATTGGCACAGGAGCATAAAAATTACTTGCAGTGAATATGTCCTACTCAAAATATGTATAACCCTGAAATATTCACCCTGTTCCATTAGAAAATAAGTAGGAAAAAATAGATTTGCTTTTATATTTTTAAATATATGTCTGTGTGTGCACAATCTAAATATATTATTTATATAAACTTTTAAACTATAAAATTATTTAATGTGTACTCAATATAACCACTTGATTATAACAGTCATTCCATTTTAAACTTTCCCTCATCCAATCTTTTTCTTAATTTTCATATCAAGCTGTTATTTTAGCTCTCCATAGTTGATGATTAAATATATCACTTGAGATCCATTCATTCACATATGGCTCGTTCAACTATTTGTTAAATGAAGATAAGAGAGTTATTACACTAGTAATTAGCATAAGAAAAAATGGCAACCATATTTTTTTGCAAAATTCTTCTCTAGTCTACAGAAACTACCGTATTTTTCGGACCATAAGACGCACTTTTTTCCCCCCAGAAGTGGAGGGAAAAAGTCCCTGCGTCTTATGGTCCAAATATAGCCTAAACATATACTTTTAAAAAAAAAGTTTTTTTACTTGCCCGGCTCTGTGTGGTCTCTGTGTGCTTGCCCGGCTCTAAAATGGTTCTAAATGCTGCTGTTTACGTTGATTACATGTGTTTATGACTGTGATGTTGGGTTTTAATGCACATAAAATATTTTAGGACACTATTTGTTTCAGAATCTTTTTTTCTTCATTTCCCTTCTCTAAAAACTGGTGCGTCTTATGGTCCGAAGCATCTTATGGTCCGAAAAATACGGTATGTTTCTAATTCAACAAACACTTATTTTAGCCTAAATCTGAGAAGTCCCATGATTTTAACACCTGGATCCAAAATATGTCAAGCACTCGTTGTGCTAACACATCATTAATAGCCCTCATCTTCAGGCTATTTCCTTGACTTCCTAGGGCCTTCGACTCTGATGACTGAACTTTGCCCTGCACAGATGCTCTCCATGTTTCCTCCACCCCTTTCCAAAAAGTTCATCAATGGCAGGTGGCTAATCTGAGTCACTATTCTACACTAAAACCCAGTGGGAACTGATGTGTTATTCTGCTGGTCCTCCCGTTTAAAAAAAAAAAATGGCTCTACGTATGAGCAAGTCAGGCATCTAATCTTAAATGAAAGAGAAAGTATAAGAAAAGTATGCAAGTAACTCTCCTCAAACTGCTACTCCTTAAATTACAGTTATACCTACTCCATATCCATCTCTCTTGGGTTAAATCTACCTATTGTATATATTAATAAATGACCTGGTGAGCAAAGACAATTAAATATCACCTTAAGAAATGGACAAATTTTCATTAGAAATAGCTAGCAACTTCTCACTTTTAAAGCATTTAACCATTGGCTAAACATGTGAATAAAATAAAAGCTGTAATGTACCCACAAGAGAAATAAAATCTCTGAAATAGTTCAAATTTATTTTGATTCCCAAACATGTATTCATTTTTACAAATATGTATTGATATACAATAGAAAACAGTCACAGAGATGTAATGTATCATATAATTATATGCCTATTTGTAGTGGTAATATAATTATAACTAACTTGTTCATTCAAATTTTTAAATCACTAAAATACTGAATGAATAAGTTAGAGAAACTAAGTCATTTTCTAAATAATGGTAAAATTGCTTGCTAAGGAAGAAACTTAAAATATTTTAAAGATAAAATAGAATTTTTGTGAAAATTTTAAACTTAATCACTTTCAAATAAAAAAAAAATACATTACCATTTACATAGCTGAG